GCCCGCTTCGCTCCCGCTCCCCGTCCCTTCCTCCCCGGGGGCGCCTCCCGCCCGCAGGCCGCGGGTGGACGTTTCAGACCCAGCCTTTGCGGCACCGGCACCTCGGCACTCCCCGTCCTGAAGATGTCCGATCGCCCTCTGTTAAACTGCTGCGTGTCCGCAGCCGCGGCTGGCAACTTCAGCCTGTGCAGGGGTTTGCGGGGTGTCAGGAGACGTGTCAGCCTGCCTCCAGAGCCGCCTGGTGCCGGCTGTGACACCGACCTTGCTCTTTGTCTGGGGCATTCGGAACCTACTCTTTCTTTAAACTTACGAAGACGACTTGATTCTCACTGTCTCTTACTGCCCACGACTCCAGACTGAGCCCCTGTTGCTGTATGCCGGTTTGGGTGCAGACAAAACGGTACCTACCTCAACGAGTCGTCAGACATCAGTGAAATGGCCAGTTCCTCCATCTCTCACACTAGAAGGGGATTTAACTTTCTGCTAGTAATTTTAACAGTATGAAGTCAAAGTGTCTTCTACGGTAGGCAGCCACGTGCGTGACTGTTAAAGCAGAGCCATTGTTGTGATGGAAATAACCTCTGCAGGTGGGGGTGATGGGGAGCTCCCCGCTGCCCTGGTGTGCCAGCCCCACGGGGCCATGGGGAGCGGCAAGTTGACTGTCCACCTGTGGGGGTTTGATTTGCTGTGGAGATTTTCCCAATTTCTGACTGGGAAATTTTAATTTTTAAAAGTTTGCATGTGTGTAAGAATTTTTTTTCATTTTCTATACTCTTGGAGAGAAAGTTAAAGTATGCCTGCACAAGAAATTGTGTGTTCCTGCATTTGGAATACGCATGGCTCTTTTATACATTGTTCAGCATGGGAGGAGTTGGCTTAGCTGAATGACCAAGAGGTAGTAGCTGTGGCAGCGGTTGGTCCAGGGAATACTTAATGCACGTGAGATGACTTGACCTGCCTGCTTGAGAATGGCTGAACTTTAACCACGTTTTATTTTCTTGCCCATTCTTGCAAAGCAGCTTCTGAAACCAACACGAACAAAAAGGGAAGAACACAACCAGCAGTGAAGTTGTGAAATTAATCCTTGTAACAGGCAACTTGGTACCAGGCTTAGCAAGAAGTCCCAAAGAATGGCTGTGAAAATAAACATCAGCTTTGTTAATGCGTTTTATATTGGAACTTAGATTCCTCACTGTGAGATTATTATTTTGAGGCACAATTTCTTTTACTCTTAATTCAGACCACTGCAGAGGCAAAAGCTCTTGTATGGTGATGATACTGAGAATGTATTTTCCAGGTTGTGGGTTGGGATAGTTTAAGAAATAGTTAAGATAAGAGTTTTGTGACAGTTACGGACTGAGACTAACCTTTGTAGTTTTATTACTGTTCCTGAAACCTATTCTTGAGAGATTTAAAAACTTTTTAAACAAATGCTTACCTGAAATGTAAATGAGTCATCCAAATGTGGTATTTGTTACCTGAATGTGATTTTAAAGTTATTTCTGAAATGCCATGTTCCATTTAATTCCATTTTAGCAGGTGTATTAGAGCTTAGACTTTTAAAATGAATGGGATTGTGAGTGATGACTTCCAAAAGAGTAATGTTGGAAGTGGAAGTTTCTTTTTCATGAAGACGGCTACAACCGAGAGCATGGCCTATAGGTTATGACTTGTAACGGTGTAAAGAAGGAATGCAATGGTTTTTCTGTTCATGGTGTCTTCTTCCTCTTTGTTGACACCATCAAAACAAATAACTGTTTTCATCCGGATGCCTGTTTCATACAAGCTCAGTCAGATAATCCCTTGTCTGTCATGCAGCCTATCGAATGCTCATCTGATGTTAATTGATTTTTCACCTTGCCTCTTCAGCTGCGATGGTGATTTGAGTAGAGGGAAGATTATCCAGGCTGTGCAGTCTCTCAGCCGTCTGAGTTCCCTGACAAAATCATGTGCCACCACCTTCCTTAGTGGCAAAGGGTTATAGGCGCAGAATTTAAAAGGTTGTTGAAAGTCTCATTTCTGTGTCATCATGAATCACAGGTTTGTGTTACTAGGAAAAATCCTAGTGTTATTGCAGGGGAAAAAAAAAAAAACCAACCATTTTGTAGTAGGCTCCAGTAGTAGTGAACTTTTCTAAAATTATGTGCTTTATGGGGAAAAAAAAAAAGCATCCACTGTAAATTTTCATTGAAAGCTTTTTATGCAGCACTTAAACGCTCAAGGCTGGGTGCCCTTCCTCCTCTTCAATTACGCAGTTTGAGTAAATTATAAGCAGTTACAGTTTTCTAATTAAAGTTATATGCATCATAAGGCAGATGCATTGCATTATGAATAGACTATAAAGAATAAATGTTTTTGTTTAAACAATGGCATTGCACATAAAGCCATAGAGAAAGTTTATGAACAAAAAAAACCCCGTTGTGTACAAGTGAACAGGATTGTGATCTCACAGGCTGTGAGGTTGTTATTTTGCTGTATTACAGTGGCTGTGGTCCCGCAGCACACGTGTTTTCTGTGCGAAACGTTTCTGTAGAGGTGTGAGTCTTCCCAAATCTGTCATAGTTGAAAGTGGTGCAACTCCCACTTTAGGATTAAAAAAAAAGATAATTTCATTTTGATTTTTTCCTCAAAAGGAAGCTTTTGCTTTTTAATCATAGAACCATAGAATGGTTTGGTTTGAAGGGACCTTAAAGCCCACCCAGTTCCAACCCCCCTGCCATGGGCAGGGACACCTTCCACCAGACCAGATTGCTCAGAGCCCCATCCAACCTGGCCTTGAACACTTCCAGGGATGGGGCATCCACAGCTTCTCTGGGCAACTCTTCCAAATGCCTGTATTTAAAAAAAAAAAAAAATCTATTAAGAGTGAAGTTGCAAGTTCAAGTGATTTATGCATTTGTTTCTAATGCATGTTGAATGGGAGAAACAGCTCTGAAGTCTGTGTAGATTCCCTGATACTCACTTTAGAAGGAAATAAAGTAGTGTTAATCATCAAAAATGAACCATATTGAAGGTAAACATGTCCTGTGTTAACAACACTAGCAGTAATCCTCGTCTTAATTTTTATTATTTTTTTTTAACAAGACTGGATTTTTTGTCACTATCCTAGCAAACCATGTATTTGTGACCGCTCAGATACCACTCCGCTTCAGAAATGCCTTGACGTGTACAGAAAAAAGAGTCTGATTCGAGTAATGCACCAACAACTAGTAAGGGTTAAGTATGGGTAGGAGTAACACGGTGGAAACTCAACCCACAGCATCTCACTGGGCGCTTGCCCAGCGTGGAGTTGATCCCAGCTGCTGCTCTGCTCCCAGAGTGTGAGACGTCCTATGACAGTAAGTGGGCGAGGTAGAACCTGCACCTGGGCACGTACCACCCTCTGCCCATGCTATCACTGTTGCATCCTGCTAAGCTGCTCAAACTCGCATTTTCTCTGGATAGACGTATTTTGGGGGGCCTTTTATATCAGGAACTTACCAGCTGTATTGAGGTGAAAATTTTTAATTTTCTAGGCCAGCTGCAAAAACCCTCTCTGAAGAGGATTTTTGCAGATGGCCAAAGAGTATTTTATAGATATTGAGGGAAGAGAGGGGCGATTCATAGCTGAATTCCCCTGTGGCTGACTATTTTGATGCTTTTTAGACCTAATTGTCTTTCAGGTGCCTCAGTCCTAATATGGGCATATTTATTATTTGGAATATAAAGAAAAGAAATTAATCTCATGGCTATAAAACTTGGAAATAACAACTAGAATTTGAACTTGTACCCAGTATATCCCTTCTTGGCTTCATTTGACAGCTTAAAAGAAGCAAGTACGAGCTGTTGCATTCAAATAACATTTATCTCAAGAGCAGTAATCAATGCTCGCTTTGTTATGTTGATCATGTTGTATAATACATGGGCCTAAAAGCATCTGAAATCTGCTAGCTGTCTTTGGCATTGTATTTCTCATTTTTCTTTTCTGTCTTTCCAATTTGCTAAGTTTGCTGGAAATTTCATATAAAGACATGAACAATTCATGCATGCAGAAGATATTGACTTCTGCTTTTCACTAACATTCATTGACCTTTTAGGTCAATAAATTTTGAAGTTGACTTAAGAAGTCAATAAGCCTTATTTTAATTTAGATTAAGTTTTAGTCTGATTCAGCACTCTGCTTCCCTTTTTATAAATAAAAAAAAGCCTATAGCAATTTATTATTAAAATATATGTCAACTAAGAACTGGTTCCTATAGGTCTGGGAATCCCTGGCTGGATTATAATTTTTTGCGGTGTTCCCAACGCGCCATTTGAAAGTGACATTGCAGCCTCCCAGAACGTTCTCTGTCCCCCTCAACTGCTCTAACATCAATTGTAGAAAGTGATACAGATAATTAAACAAAACCATATGAATTTCAGGAGCAAATGTTTTCCATCACGTTGGAATTTCACCTTACATGAGCAAATTTGACTTAAATTACATTTCCATCTGACATTATTAATTCCACCAAGGAAACTTTGTGTAATATTAATTACAGATACCAATTATATTATTTCATCTTTCCTTTCCATTGGAGCTTCAATAAAAATTCAACAAGTGAAGGACATGATTATCATAATAATTTTAAAAATCCACCTAAAGTCTTTTACCACATACACACAAAAATGTTCATAGCATTGGAATCATGCAAGTGAGAATGTACTTGTCAAAGTTTTTTGCACAATACATCCGTCAGTAAAAAGGAAGGGAACATTTCGTCTCCTGCATTTTTGGGTTACTGCCATGGACGCTTTCCTTTGATAAAGTAACTTGGCAAACAGGTGGTTACAGAAATCAGTGCAGTGGTGTTAACTTCAAATTTTTGTGCTTTTTCAATCTGTTTAGCTCTTTCAAATGACATTACTACTGGTGAAAAACCACTCTAAAGTCATGTTATGTAGTGATACTTTGACCTTACGGAATTTTGACCATGCGGTATGGCCAGCTGTCGCAATGTCACCTTAACTTCATGTAATATAATTGACAAAAATAGCCGTATTGGTTTTCAGTGGAAAAAAAAAATGAGCAGAGAAATTATCAAACGGTATTTAAAATTTCAGCAATAAAGTAATTGGAAAAAAAAATGGTTAACTGAGGAAATGCCTAACTAAGCAGCTGATATGTGGCAGATTCTAACATTAAGATTGGAGCTTCAACAACCCATAAATCCAGGTATCGTCTACCACATTTGGAGTACTAATTTGATACTACAATAAAGGAAAACACTATAAATTACAAGGAAAATATCTTTGAGGAAAGATCTGTTGTGTGTGTAGAGACAACATTCTGCACTGATTTCGAGTGCTAATGCACTTCAGCATTAGCGCTCTGGATCTGGGATACACAGTGATTAAGGCTGTAGAGACAATCCTCTTCATTTTGAATGAAATCCAGTGTATGTTTGTCTTTACATTTAACTAGTACAGCTAATTCCCATTCCTGTTCATGTAACCCGAGGTTGGTTTTTTTTTTAGGGATTTGGAAGTAAGGACAGAAAAATGGTGTTGGGCATATAACAGCTTTGTAAGCATTTCTACCTCCCCATTCATAGCTACCACACTGTTGTGATGAAACTGGAAACAACTGAAATTACCCATATATTTGCCAAGCATTATTGTGCATAGGCCATGAATCTGCTGTCGTGCCACTTGCCTATTCATGGAAATACCTACATGTAGTTTCAGAGTATCTGCACCTTTGTTTTGACTTGCCCCTGCGTTGCTTTGTATTGGCATTGCTTTGTATTGTATTTCTGTAATGGATTGGCACATAGTTGCTTTCACCATTGAATAATTTCCTTTTACAGCTTCCATTTTGAATGTATATAGTTGTCTAGTTATTCTTTCTTTGATATACTCCCTTTTCACTTTCAGTTCAAAATTGCATGATAAGTAGAGCTCAGGTACAATCTTCAAAGCAAATCCATGTTATTTTGAGAAATGTTACAGATTTTCTTCTCTCTTCTAGGCATTGATTTTAAAGTAAAGCCAGTAATGTTCAATGATACAAGAGTTAAACTTCAAATATGGTAAGTTTTAATTTATATCACAAACAAGAGCCAACTAAATTACATTACAGCATGAAAAATCTTATCTGCTTTTAATTGTGTGTGCAATTGGGTCATTTTAAAATTTGAATTTGGCCTCCGGGAGCCTATTTTTTGCACCAGCTAATGTAAGTTAAAAAGAAAAGAGGGTTGTCGCTACGTTGCTTTTACAATAAAATTTGCAGCATGCAAACAATGCAGATCTACAAGCCATATTAAGTATATTTAATTGTATAGGAACATTGAAGGAAGTGACAAAGCAAGAAAATTTTACATTTCATTACTCATCAAGTGGATGTTCAAAAGGGTCACAGAGGGAGAGCTAGTAAGGTGAATCTTTGGGAACCTACACTGTATTTTTTGTTTTTAAAGTTTTTCGAAAGGCTGTATAGGGCTTCTGACAGCCATCTCATCCAATACTGGAGGTTATCTATATTTACCAGTATTTAACTTCTCAAGGAGTAACTCTGTACATGAATTATCTCACCACTATTAGGTCTGCAGTTACTCCATCTCAGGTTTTAATACAAAAGTCTTGGAGGCTTGTTTACAGCTTTCTTAAGGCATAATTATGTGTAGGAATCTCTACATCCCTGTATTTTATGGCTTTTTCCCAAAACCTACCTTCTATCTAAACCGGCTTACTGTCTGTGTCACAGTTTACAAAGGGCTTGTCAGGGTATGGGATATCCTCTGACTCCTGCAGTGCTTGTACTCCAGATTTTTTTGTCACCCGAGTTATACTCATCTTAATGATTATGCATATAAAGAAACAGTGGTGGGCTGGAAGTTGCACTCAGACTTCAGCCACTGGTTTAGCTTCCCTAGTAGGGCTGTATTGTTCAGAATAAATTTCCAGTGTATTTCTTTCACTGCTGTATCTGGCACCCAGATTTTCTCTCATCCTTATGTTTTCTTAGTCCTTTCATGTTGGGGTACACCATTCAAAATTTGGACAATACTCCTTAAAATAAAGTGTTTTTTCTTGGGGGTTCTGCAGTTTGATCATCTTTTTTTTTTGTTTGTGTGTGTGTGATTTCTTACAATTTTTTTCAGGGATACTGCTGGCCAGGAACGATTCCATACACTTAGTACTAGCTATTTTCGTGGTGCACAAGGCTTTGTTCTTGTATATGACATCACGAATCTGGACAGTTTTCAAAGTATAACAAGCTGGATGAAAGACATACATGAGGTAAATATATCTAATAGTGGTTGATCTCTTAGTAGTTAATGGAGGTAGTTAATGAGTTACTGCAGTTAATGTTTTAAATGACTGCATGATATTTATTCTTGTTCCTTGAGCTGTATGTTTCTAACCAGAATTTCTTACATTTAACTCACCACACAGTATGATAGTAGGATTACTGTTATCTGAAACTGCTATAGGGTGTAGTTTATCCAGGACAAACCCGTGGTGATGTAGGAGTGTTTTCTGAAGTATTTTTAAAACAGCTTCCAATCCGATTTTGCACATGCTGAGTTATGGTGCTTCTGTCACTGGTGTGGGTACGCACAAGCTAATCTCCATGAGCTCATCTCAGGATTTTAATTGGCTTCCATGTCAAAATTCCACATCACTGCCAGTGATTTCCCTTTCCTGATTTCATTACTTTAGTGTAGTTACCTCATCCCAAGAATCAAAAGAAGCAAATCAAATTAAACATCTTCTTTGTCCTTGGTGGATAACTCTTTGAGAGGATGGTTTCAAGAGGGAGGAACTGGGGGAGGAAAAGGAGAATCCCTTTTTGGTGGCAGTGAGCTATTTGGTTAGCTCAGCTGCGTGTGGTACTGCAGCCAGAAACACGTGCGTTCATGTGACATAAGCAGTGATTCAACAGCACATGGCTGCCAGACGGCGGCTGTGTTCCCACCTCCCCTTCCTGCTCCTGAACGTTGGCTCCCACTGTGCTGCTTCTGGAGCTTGTCAGAGCCCTCTGAGGTTCATTCTGACTTTCTAATGTGGTAGAAAACTAACACAGCAAAACCAGTTAGGTGGTTTTCTGCTCCATCAGTGAGTTTAAGAGGTTCATAGAAAGGTCTGACAGTTACTGGAGTTGGTACAAGGTAAACAAGTAGGAGTAGGAAGGCCAGAAGAATGTGTGGGAGGAACCAGGGAGGGAGGAGCGGGCAAGCCCTTAGACATCAGATCATTCAGCTGCCTGTAACCCTGTACCCTGAGTCTTTATTGCTAAGTCTCTCTTGATGTGCTCTCTGTGAGGTAGAGGCAGCTCAGTTTTAGAATAGAATAGTTCAGCTGGAAGGGACCTACAACGTTCGTCCGGTCCAGCTGCCTGACCACTCCAGGGCTGACCAAAAGTTAAAGCATGTTATTAAGGGCATTGTCCAGATGCCTCTGAAACACTGACAGGTTTTGGCCATCGACCACCTGCCTAGGAAGCCTGTTCAGTATTTGACCACCCTCTCGGTAAAGAAATGCTTCCTGATGTCCAGTCTGAACCTCCTCTGGTGCAGCTTTGAGCCATTCCCACACATTCCACACATTAAGGGCAACAAGGCTGGTGAAGGGCCTGGAGAAAAAGCCTTATGAGGAGCGGCTGAGGGAGCTGGGGTTGTTTAGTCTGGAGAAGAGGAGGCTGAGGGGAGACCTGATCGCCCTCTACAACTACCTGAAAGGAGGTTGTAGTGAGGTGGGGATTGGGCTCTTCTCCCCGGTAATTAGCGATAGGACGAGAGGAAATGGTCTCAAGTTGCGTCAGGGGAGGTTCAGGCTGGACATTAGAAAGAACTTCTTCACTGTTAGAGTCGTTAGGCATTGGAACAGGCTCCCTAGGGAGGTGGTGGAGTCATCGTCCCTGGAGACGTTCAAAAAACGTCTAGATGTGGCACTTCAAGACATGGTTTAGTGGACAGGGTGGCATCAGGTGTACGGTTGGACTTGATGATCTTTGAGGTCTCTTCCAACCATAATGATTCTATGATTCTATGATCCTATGACGGAGTACCAGGGAGAAGAGCTCGGCACCTCCCTCTCCACATCCCCTCCTCAGGTAGCTGTAGGGAGCAATGAAGTTGCCCTAAGCAGTAGCATGGAAGTTTGTAGTTAGCATGCTTGTATAAGTTAGTATGCTTGTGTAAGAATCCAAGCAAGGTAGTGCTCTTTGTTGATTAAAATCAAGTAAACATTCAGGCAGTTTGTAATAGTCTGTGAATTGGTAGGAATATGACATGATGGATGGGAGAGTTCATCTTGGGAAAGCAGGCTTGAAATAAAACCATCCAATGTATCTTTTTCTCTCTTCACAGCTTCAGTGTATGGATGAATTAATGAACTACACATGGTCATATATCAATAATATATACACAGGATATCTTATACTCTTGGTAAAACATTACATTTACATTACCTCAGTATTAAGAATGTTACTATGGTGACCTAGTACATCATTATCCTTGACCTTAGAGCTGTCTTAAAAGTCTTAAGGGCGACAGAGCCTAACTTCAGTAATGTGTTACAAGGGAGATTTGATGATACAGTATTCTTACTGGCTTGTCTGCACACACTTCAAACACACGTTTTATCACTTCATTAAGAAAATCATGTACCCTTCTCCTGTTAGGCAAACCAACAAAAGTCACACCTAGGTATGCCAGTGTTTGTACAGCTTCATGATTAGCTAAGGTTTAACTTGGCACACAGTATGATGGTAGGTTTACTGTTAGCTGAAGCTGAAAATGTAGATTATCCACATATATCCATTTATATATCTATTTATGCATATATCTCTCTATCTGTGTGTATAAATTTATATATAAAATACTGATCTGTCTTCACACTGCCTCCAAAGGGGTCATTTTTTCCTGTCATCTCTAATTAGATCAACAGGATGGTTGATTCAGTGGGCTACAATGCACAACCATAAACACAAAGAAGGCATCAGGACTGTATGGCTAGGGTGGAGGGAAGGATGGGACTAGGTCTTGTAGCCACCATGCAGGCTTAGATCTGCTGAAGTCAATCAGGAAATCACACCTGCACAAGCCTGCTTTCTCTTTGTGACACTTAAAAGATTTCGTGTAAACGTACTCAAGCTATTGACATTTAGATTGTTTAATTTTAACCCCTGAAGGCACTTTGTTAGTTTAAAATTTAAAAAATGGAAAAATACTCAATTTAAAACAATTTCTGGGAATGTAAATTGCATGATTGATTGTACCAATCTCAAAACTAGCAATTAGTGAGTGTTGTAATAGAGCTAGATAATAATAAAAAATTTAATTTAGTCCTAGTGGGATATCAATTTCTGAAATGTCTTGGTGAAAATATATGGGGCCATTCATTGCAAAAGAAGTGTTTTTAAGCAATAACTGTTAAAACACAGGGCGTTTCATGAAAATTAATTACTGGAGGTTGGTGACATTCACTGCATTTGTTTTGGTCTGTGAATGCAAACCAGTATTTAATTCCCCATAAATGCCCAGTATCTAAGTGCCTGTTGCTACAGCACCCTTTAAAATATGCAAGCGTGGAAGAAATAAATAAAATTTAAAAAGGGAAACAGACACAGGTTTCATTAAATGTCAGACTAATAGGTAATGTAAACCTTGCACCTGAACCAATCAAACAGGATTTTTTGAGAGAATTCAGTTATTATATTATGCTCTCATTTTTTAATTCTTAGTACGTAGAGATTTTAAACAAAGTTTTTTAAAAATCTGTTCAGTGTGCTAAGTCCTTTTTACAACAGTTGAAAGTAACAATCTAAGCAATTTAGCATTCCTAAAAACTCCATTGATTCTATAAAAACTGGCCAGTCAGTGCTATTACAGTCAAATTACCAGTAATGTTCTCATTGTATTTCAATTATTTGAAGTGTGGGATACAGCAACTTTCCTATTAAAAATGAATTATTGTTCAAGACACAAATATGCTGCCATATCAGTATTGTTGTAAAATTTGTATTCAGAACTAGAGGAAACTAAGTAACATGACTGTACTTAGAAAGCTTACTAGAAAAATGTACTTACAGGTTAATACCTTAGGACATTATTGGCAAATCCAATACAGGAATATTGGATTTGTAATGCACTCATTAGGAGCATGATAATTGCAGGAAAATTACTTTAGAACCTGAAACCATTCTTTATTTGTAGGATTGCAGGTCATGTCCAATTTATTAAGGTGTTCCTCTTGCCTGCTGACATAGCTTTTAGCTATTGTATGGAGCTGTTCTGAAAGGCTGATTCTGTTTGGCCTTTAAAAATTAAATACAGGTAACTGTGGGCCAAATCCATTTGCAGAAAACAGTTCTTTCCAGGGTGTTTTGAACAAGATTCCAGCTACCATATTGGCAATAAGTTCCTCACAATAGAGTGGTAACATGCTCAAACAGGTGCCCAGAGAGGATCTGGAGATACTTAAAACTGGATTCAACACGGCCTTGAGCAACCTGACCTGACTTTGAAGTTGGCCCGTCTTCGAGCAGGGGGTTAGACCAGATGACTGCCAGAAGTCCTTGCCAACCTGGATCACTCCATGATTCGTGCATGGTGTCTCCAAAAACTTTTGACGTAGGTGGTAGGTCCTAGTTTTCTTTTAAATACATTGGACTGGTTTTCATTATGGTTGTCCCCTGGTGTGGCCATGAAGGTGGCATTAACAGTTCCTAACAATTATCTCCGTGCTGGAAATTCTCTGCTAGTACAGAATTTTTTGCGTGGGGAAGAGAAATTCATTTTCTCATGCAGTAGCAAGTCTTGGTGACATAATTTAGTGCTCTTGGAATACATTAGCTTTCTATTTGTGCTACCTGAAGAAGTGACCTCTGAACCAGGATATGAAATGTATGGGTGTGTTGACTTGCTGCCATTTTTGCGTAGTGCCTTTTTGTGATTCTGTTCGTTTGATGCATTGAGAGTTAGGATGTTGGACTGTCTTTCAGTGTTTCTGCATCATACTTAACTAAAACCAGCACAGCAGACTGCTTTACAAATGTAAACTAGTGTGACTTCAAACTCAGTTATGAGTTTTTTCTTCCTCAGATGGGAGAGCTTGATGTCAAAAGGATCGAATTGTTCCAGTTCGTAGATGGGTTTGTTGTTACGGCTCTGATTAGAACTGAAGACTATTAGAACTGTTGTCACTTTACTAAATTGGTTTATCTCTAATCCCAGATTGGTTGCAGGATAAATTGGTTTATATCTAATCGTGTCTAAGTTTGCTCATAGACAAACAAATTCTATCTCTTGTTTATTTCCACTGGAGTCCTGGAAACTAGGCATTTGTAACTGGGGTCATAAGGTGGCACTTCAAAAAATATATGGAGATATGTATAGGAATCATAATATGAGCACTGCCCATGTGATACTGTCAAAGAGACTGTGAGGACAATGTATTCCTAATAAATTACTCTTCATTAATACAAAGGGTAAGTTTTTAGTGTCATGATCTAGTGAGTAGGAAGAAGAAAATTCCCAGCTTTATGGCCTTCCTCAGCTCTGCCTTCACCTTGCTGTGTGACCATGTGTATCCTCTTCAGATCTGAAAAACTATTATTAGTGCTACATTTCTTCCTCAAATACCAACTAATTAAGTATTACCATAGTGTATTTATCAGGTATGGGTTCTTGATTTCACTTTTTGGACCTACAACCAAGCTTCTGTTCCCTTTTCAAACTGTAATCAATGAGTATCAAAATCATGCAGCCCTGCATGACTACGCCCTGGAAATGTGGTGGAGGGACAAGATGGTGATGCTGTAAGATCTGTCAGTGGATAGATAGCTTTATACAACAAGGAGTCTGGACGGGCTGGTAATCACGGTCAGTTTGCTGCAGGGGAGGCTGAGGCCAGCCATTCGCAGTAGGGTCTGTGCTCACCATAAGAGACGTGAAGGGATAGTTTCTTCCAATAACCTGGAGGTACAAATGTGACGTAGTTCTCTTTCAATAAAGGTGTCTGTGCTACTTTTGGTACTGACATGAATTTACAGGACTTCTGTGAAATTGCTTCTCTGCAAAATGAGAACAACTGCAGAAAAAAAAGACCTAACATTTGGGGAAAAAAAAAAAAAAAAGAAAAAATAACACCCATACAAAAGGGATGAGCAAGATATTTTCCCTTTTGCATTTCTGATTTCTGTTAATAGCCACATAGTCAAGCAGTGAGTTGGGTATTTACCTGGTTGGGTGCCCAGGCTAGGTGAAAGCGGAGCAGGACGGTGATGGATGGCTGCTGTCAGAGCAGGCTGCTAAAGCGCACTGTGGTGGTGTGGTGTGAGTCCAGTGTTCCTAGTCCGGTCGGTGGCACCTCTGCCTTGGAGGCTCTGGCTCTGCTCCCTCCTGTGGCCACCAGTCACAGCAGCTTGGCTCCCACTGCCGCTGCCAGGTCCAGCTGCCGGGGAAGCCAGCGGGGGAAAAAACCCTTTTGCCAAAACATGATGAACCCAAGCTCTGCCAAATGCTTGAAAAAAACTTGGTGAGTCTCAATAAATCTCTTGGCACCAATTTTTTGAGAGAAATATAATGCTGGTATTTCTTTCTTGGTTGTTTAAAACAAAATAGGCTCGTTTTTCTCCAAGTTCAGATTATTTTAAATTTCAAAGTTCACATTTTACTGAAATGTTAAAACCAGAAGAAAAACTGAAACCAGAAGAAAAACTGAAACCAGAAATTTAGATGTGTTTTTGAGATACCAAAGCAAAACTTTTTTTTTTTTACTTCTCAAAAAAAAATCTTTTTGCCTTGATGAAATTGATGAAATTTTTGATAGTATTTTTCCATGACATGGGGAAAAAAATGTTTCCTGACTCTATTCGCTTAGTCAGTGCTGACTTTCATAATAGCTTCTTAACAACTGGGAAATAACCATCCTCTTTTTAGCTATAGATTTTGCATTTGGAAAGCTTATTCCTGAGCTATAAATAAAAGAGGCTGAAAATACACAGTGAGCTTTTGGAAGCACTGAAGAGCCATATTTTTGGCCAATTCAAATCAGTGTACCTCTGCAGTTTTTAAGCCAGCTGAGCACGTGGTCAAACGTCTGCCTAGTTCTTGACTTCAGTTTTCAGAATTTAAAATAGACGTCATTTTGGTGTATAGTCTTTGGTTTTCTAAAAGCAAGAAACTGCAAGATACCATCTTTAAAAAAGAAGTACTTTCAGTACTTTGGTAGAGGATCCAGTCACAGTGAAAATACGTTATTACATTATATTGATGTAGAAGTAATAGTTGCTGAAATAAATACTTAGTGATTGGTAAAAGTGCTAAATACTTACTGAAAGGCCTGGTACCTTTAACCTGCTTTAAATTTTGTTATTTGAAGCTGTATAGAAAGAACATTCCTACTGCAAAAAGTTACAGGATGAATTTCATGGTTTTGTACATACAGTATGCAGGTATTTCCCTTTGACCTTTTACTTCAGAGTGAAGTCAAATGTCACTTATAAAACTTCAGCTACACACAGTCTTCTTCCAAATAAAAAGTTGATTATGCGATGAGATTAAATTGTCTATTTATCCTATTTTAGGGACTGATGTATGTGATTTTATGTAGGAGAGCCATTGACCTTAATGAGTAAAGCTCCAGTGCATTCTGAAACAGCCAGCATTTTGCTCTATTAATCCAGGTTAGATTGATTCATTATTTTAGGCCTGTACTTCGTACTCTTATGTTGAGCTTACTTCATTTTAATACTACATTATCTTGAGCATCAGCTGTGAGTATGAAATGAGATTAGCTGACTTGAAAATGAGAGTGGATTAAAAAAAATGAAATAGCATTCCTTAATAATAAATTGCGTCTCCTGCTGTACTCTTCAAATGAGGCAACTTCATTCTGAAGGTGCAAATAGACAGAAAGTAATGATTCTCTCATCCTTTAATGAATAGACGTTTTTCTTTGTATTTCTCTGAAGGGAGGGACAGGTGTCCATGTGCGTGTGTGTGAGCTCTGGGGAAGAGGATTGTGCCTGCTTTTGTCTTATAGCAAAGTTATAAAAATTAAGACTTTGACGGAGATCAGAGATTTCATCAACGTCCTTGTAGAGAGATCTGCAGCCTGAGACCAGGCTTTTTGAGTCATCGGAGAAGCTGTGTGAGCGTGTACTTTCACAATATAGGCCATGGGATCAGACCACATTAGCTTTAATTGTCTCTACATTGAGACCCTCAGCTTCCTCCATTTAAGCACCAAAAGTGGTTTTAAATATTACAGTTTTCACAAAAAATGTCATTTTTCAAATTCCACAGGCTGTTGCAGAACTGTTCCCTTTCCTTGTCGTTATTCCAGTCATGTATAGTTACAATGGCTTATCTTAAAATAACACTGATGTAAAGCACCTGGTGCATTTCACGGTCATCGTGTACGTAACTGGATTAGTGGAACGAAGGATGGAGGCAAGGTCAAAAAGCAAGATTTTTCTTCCTTTTGAAATCAATGAGGTTTTTAAATCTTACTTCATTAAAAATCTATTGCCTTCTTCCGATTGTCTTAGAATAATCAAACTTTTATGTTGAGTTTGAACACTTTGAATGTAGTTTTACTGTCCATGTGCAGAAGTGAAACACAGAGAGGTGCTCTTTCAGGTGCAGCAAATTCCGTCCTTTTTACTTGTGAGGGCCGGATGCAAACCTGACTCATATGCTAATTCCTGAACCCATTACTTTAGGAAGGGCAGTGTCTGTGAATTCAAGGCATTTCCAGTCACTTTAAAGCCTCAGGATGGAGCATTCATCAGAAGATGGTGCCCATGCACCATATACTTTATACCTTATGAAAGAACGTGGAAATTCTGCCCTGCACTTGTAAGTGGCTTTTTTCTGCTCTTTGCAATCTTGCTGTTTTCCTCCAAATCCCAGTAACTGATGGAAAATACTTCCACATACGAAAAGGTCAGGACAGAATTTAGCCTTTACTTTCAAGGAAGTTGTTCAAGGTTAGTGTGAGCTGAAGGTGAAGAGCTTTTGTTGTTTGCTTTTTTTCTTACTTTACACTTATTAATGCTGGTTCTCTTTTAGAAAGCAGGTGATGAAGTGGACGTAATACTGTTGGGCAACAAGTGTGATAAGGAGTCAGAACGTGTAGTTCCAAAACAGAAAGGAGAAAAGGTATCATGGATCACTGGTACTTTCTTTGGCTTCTCCTGAGTATCTCAGTAGGTGACGCTGAGCTGTTACACTGAAAATTATAAAAAGCTCCTGAATTCCAAAAATTCTATTAGGAATTGCTTCAGAAGAACAGTTGTGGAGTTCTGGAGTGGTTGGATTTTTTTAACATAAGACAGGAATGCATTAAGTAACTCCTAGCTGATCTCTTTAGAATACTGATTTTTATTTTAAAGGTTAAAATGCACTTGAAAGGTTTTAAGCGTTACAATAGAAATCTTATACTTTGAATTAAAACTAAAAATATTTTTGAGTCTGCATTTTCAGAGTACTGTTTTAATGTGAAATTCTAAAATACAATGCATAATACATTCTGCATAATTTTTCTGGCACCTGATGCACCCATCAATGATTTTTTTGCTACAGCCTGACTATCAAGAACTATTCTGGCAACCTGTGCACTGTGATCTGCATTGTCTATGAATAGCCCTAAATAATACTGGACAGATCCATTAGGGAGCATCCAGCTCCCCTACTTCCAACTGTGTACGTCTCATACAGCTGAGACCACGGTATAGTTTATACCTGCTGACCATGTGTGGGGGAAGAACTGGTGATAAGTGGGGAGTGCTGTTGTAAAGGTAATGGCAAATCACTCTCACTGAGAGCCAACGAGGAAATCCAGGAGCCATACTATGGCGGAAGAAATTGTGATAATGACTTAAATGTTGCAGGAGAGCATGTCCTATATACCAGTAAATTTTGCAGCTGCAAACTGTATGCATCTGTTGTCTGGTACTTGGAATGAGCCCTTCTGTTATACTTTCAGGCTTGATGAATGAGACAGGATGTCTTGGGTTTAAAGAAAAGAACACTGATAATTTCTTGCCAATTATATAATCCCAGGTTAGGGAACTTTAAAAAATAGCATCACCTTTTCAACATCATTACAAATAGAAACTTTTGAAAGCTCATTGTTCGTATGCAAGACACTTTCAGTGTTAATGTACTGTATCTGTGTACGAGGAATAAGTTTGCTGAAAAATACAGGTATACTCTCACTCAAAGAATGCACTGTCAGAAATCTAGAGTCACTGGATGCATGTGCACAAGAGGGCAGTAGTAGAGTTTTGCATATGGTATTAACTGTGACATTTTCTGACTTCTGTGTACTTAACCATGCAATCAAAATTTCTCTCAATGTAGTATTTTTTTCAGAAACAAATCATTACCTCCTCACCAATGAGTCTGCTTTCTAGATTTCTCCTGTGTTTTGAGGCAAGGCAGCTCTTCAGTTACACTATTTCTTCTTTTAATGTGATTTACAAACACTAAAGAATCTGACTGAACCAGTTATAGAAAGATTCCAGTAGCAGAGAGAGTGCTAGTAGTTGTCCTCTGATTCCAAAGAAGAAAATGTCCTTATTAAGAGGGGAAAATAGTTTGATACTAACTCTGCCACATAATAATTCATACTTACATATTTCATATTATCCTGTGAGTATGAGCTGTAAGTATTGTTCTGTTCAGAGTCTTGCAGAGAAGATCCCTAGATTCCCTGGGAATCTTATCATCTATGTTGGCATTTCTGTAACAATCTATCATAACTGAGTGGCCATCGTATGCCGCTTCATAGACTAATGCTGAGAATTATTTTTTTTCTTTTGTAATTTGATGACTCAGAAATTGATATATTTTATTTTAACATTATGAAGTATTTTCTTCTATTAATAGCTTTTTAGTCACTTTGATAAAACTTTGAACTCAACCTTCTTGGGCTCCTCCATGTCCTGTCTACCTTCCCATTATCTTTTTCTCTGAAAAATAAATAAAAATGTTGAAGGTTGTATGACTTGGTAGAATGTGCCCATTTTTCTCCTGTCAGATCTTTCTAACAGAAAGAGCCAGGTAAAATATTCTTCCTTTTTTGCTTTTGCTGTCTTCATGTGCCTAACATCAAAGCTGATTTTACAGGTACAATGCAAATGAAAAGAACTATTCTGCACAGTTCTAGGAATATTTCAGACTCATCTCTGTGATTCAGTGCTAAGAAATCATAGCAGGACTTTGCTAGGAAGTAGTATATTTTGAGTTAAAAGAAATGAAGAATTGGAATTAAATTTCACCTTGGAAGAGTGATTGGCATTACTTATTTTGTTATTGTAAGTAAGAGAGGAGCTTATTTCACTCAAGATCTCCAGACTGCTCTCAAGGATAATATAAAAAACCATTTCCCAGTAGCATAATTCCCATAGGTTTGTAAATGTATTTAGGTGTTTTATTTATGGATCTATTCTAGATGCGCCCAACAGCAAAAAAAGTAATTCTTTGAATGCGCCATTCCGGTTTCTTTATGAGAGGGAGTAGCCAAAGCTGTGTTCATACTTCCAGCTGCTTTAACACTGAACTGTTGTTTTATTTTTCCATCTAGCTACATTTTTAGTACTTACCAGTATGCAAGGTGAATTGGAATAATACATACATTACTCTTCTTTGACCAATATCATGCACATGTAGAGAAAATGAGAATGCATTGATAGGTGTAGTAAGCAATGTAGTAACATGATACAGGGAAGGCTGAAGTACTAAAGGTTTTTTTGATTTGACTTGATTCTATTTTATTTTATTTTTATTTTGCACTGGTCTTCACAGATGGAGCTTGCTCCCAGACCTCTGCTTGTACTGGTGTGGTTTGGGAAGGAACAGGTCAGCCAGCAGCGGGAAAGCAGATTAGAAACTGCTTATGCAAGTTGGATGCATCCATAGACACGATGAAGTTCACCCAATTGTGCTGAAAAGCTGGTCAATGTGATTGGGGTCACTGTGAGTCAACTCTGAAAAATCATGGTGATTGGGAGAGATCCCTGTTGACTAGAAGGATGCCAGCATGACACCTGTCTTTAAAAAAGGCAAGGAAAAGAGTTCAGGGAACTATAGTCAGTCAGCCTTGCTTCAGTCAGTGGAAGGATCGTGGAGCATGTTGTCATCAAATCCAGGGACATACAGGACACAAAGATAATCTGCAATAGTCAACAGAGGGCAAGTTGTGCTTCACCATCCTGGTTGCCTTCTATGATGCCAGGAAATGACTGTGTGGACAAGGGAGTAGCAGTGGTTGTGTTATATCTTGAATTTACTAAGGCTTTTATCACCTTCTCCCATGGCATCCTCACTTGGAAGCTAGGAAATGTGGGCTGGACAATTAGGTGGACTGAAAATTGGGTGGACTACCAGAAGCAAAGGGTAGCGAGCAAAGGCCATGGGTCTGGTTGGTAGCTAGTAATGAGCGGAGTACATCAGGGGATGTGGTGGGGCTTATGTTGTTGGACATCTTCATCAGTGATCTGGCTGATGATACGAGGAGATTTGCATGTGACATGAGGTTAAGGGGTGTGACTGGCACACCAAATGGGAGAACACCAATTCTGTGGGACCTTGATAAACTTGAGAACTGGGCCAACAGAAACATCATGAAATTCAGTAAGAAGTGCAAAGATGGGATGGAATAATCCCAGGCATGAGTCAGTGCCCTGCTGCAGAAGACTGGGCAAGTTACAATGGATACCAGCTTGAATATAAGCCAACAGTGTTCCCTCATTGCTTAAAAGCATGCTGGGCTACATTAGAAGGATAATGGATGGTAGATCTGGGGCGATTATTACCCCCCTAGGGTAAACAGAGAATATTGTGTCCAGCTTTGGCTTTCCGATTTCAGGAAGGGTGTTGAGAAACTGCAGAGGGTCCAGCAGACAGCTGCAAAGATGACTGGGGTCTAGTACCAGTAATCCGTGAAGAGAATTGAGGGAGCTGGATAAAGAGGAGGCTGCGGGGCAGTTACTGGTCTATAGCAATGGAAGTGTATTTAGAGGAATGACAGAAATAGACTCTTCTCAGTAGAGACAGACAATAAAGCAAGAGGTAGCAGACACAAGTCCTGGCTTGGGAGGTTCAGGTTGGAGATAAGGAGAACCAGTTGTGCTGGAAGGGTGATGTAGCCCTGGAAGAGGGTCCCATAAAGGTTATAGAATCTCCATTGTTGGCGGATTTCAAGACTCAGAGAGGCAAAACCATGGCTGACCCCATATCATATGGGCAGTACTCCCATTTCAAGTGGGGTTATCTTTCCAAATGATTTCTATGATTCTATGGTTAAAACGGTTTGTGTTGATCAGAGTTTGTACATAGGTAGCCTCTAGCAATCTGTTACATGACACAAGAAAGAAAAAAGGTATATGTAATAGTAGATTCTGTGTACCTTATAAGCTGCAAACCAGTCTTCTCCACTTTAGTAGCCCAGTATTTTTTATTGCCTGGATTTTTTGTTTATGAACCATTATGCATCATTGTTTTGCATTGACACTTGCCAATAGTCAGATGATTTTAACTTCCCATAAGAAGTTGCTGCAGTACCAAAATCAGTTCACTGCAGTCAGCTGGAGTTTCAGAAACCCTTATGAAGCAGTCTGTCTTAGGAAATAGTCCAGATCTCATCTTTATTTTCAAAATTATATTTTCTTATAGCAGTTTGGAAAAGAAACCATTTTGATTACTTTTTTCCCTACTTTTAATAAAACCCTTATTCTATTTTGACTAAAACTTTAAAGTCCAATTCTTGCACCTTCATGCTTGATTTTGGAATTTTTGTAAAGCATTGATTTGTTACTTGTAGAGCTCATTGAAAGCAAACATAACTGCCAACATTAGATTTTTTTATAGTAATGGAGAGCCTTACAAATTAATTGTTAAGCAGTCTGTAATTATAGGATTTTTCTATACATTATAAGCAGTAGAGTATTTTCTTTGCCTAGGATCATCTTCTCCAGATGTGTACCAAGAAGGGATCCATTGCAAATGGAATAAATAGACTCTCTCACTATGTTTTTCTGGCAGATATTATTCCCACCTTGGCCCTCTCCCTTGGAGGCAACGATGCAACTGGTTTTCGTTTTCTCCATGTATTAAACTGTATAAATTAGGGCAAGTTTAGGACCTTAAAAAGCTGTGATTTTTGTTTGTTTTTTTTTTCCCCCGCATGCCAACATATCTCTAAGCTATCTGCAAGGGAAATACACTGGAAATGAGAGAACAGGAGTAAATTAAATAAAATAACCAATGTAAAGTCTATGCTACCCTTTTCTTATAAGTATTTTCTCTCTTCTCCTGTTGCCATAATACATTTTCGCATACATATCTGTTCTTTGCTTGCCTATTATCTCTGTGCTCCTCTCTCTCTGGTAAAAAGGAGCATCTCTTTTTTATATTTCATTACAGCTCTTTTTCTACAGTTCTTGTCACATTTTTATCTATACTTTTCTGCAGGCACTCCATTAGTTTCCTCTAAATAATTGCCTAGGAGACAGTTCATTTTCCAAATAAAACATTGAGAACAGACCCACGGAGTTTATTCTCCTTATTTACAAGTAAAGATAGGTTAAAAAAAGCTGTTCTGCAAATGCAAAAATTTAAGAAAAATGCTTGAAGAGTTACCTGAAATTTATAAACTGACGATGAATATAAAGTACTGAGCTGAGCTGACATTTACTTAATCAATGTTTATATAGCCTGTCGGAAGCTGTCAGAACACCTCCGTATCTCTTGCTATTAGTATTAGGAAGTGGTTTTTTCCTGAAGACTATTCATCCCATTGCCTACATTTGTTTTTCAGCTTGCTTGGGAACATGGAATACCCTTTTTTGAAACCAGTGCTAAAGATAATGTGAACATTGAGGATGCATTCTCAGTCTTGACTAAGGAAATACTGGAAAAGGTAAGCTCCTTTTCTGAGTAGAAAGAAAATGGGAGATTTTTCATGACAGATTGGGTAAACAAGGCTGTAAATACAGAAGAGGTTTAGCAAAGCACAGACAGTGCTGTTTTTGCTTTATGGAGTTAATATTTTGGGGGGTCCTGGAGCTGTAGACATACAGAGGAGGAACGTGCGGGAGAAGAATTACGGGAGAACAACAGAATAGGGAAGCAGGTAAACTACACTTTAGAGAGAAGGTGAAAATTCAGGAAAACTGCATTTGTGGCTTTCCTTCCCACGCTTTTCATCAGGGTAGAGGGTAACAGCTCTAGAATAGTCCTACTTCTGTGCCAGGAAGATTCATTTTTCCTGTAGGTTTCTGTAGAATATGCACACTGTGCTCATTCCAACAGCTGCATGCTGACAGAATGAGTGGACCTTTTATGTTCAGCAATCAAATGTTGTATCCAAAGTTCATAGCTGTTTGTTTGGGTGATTTACACTAGTGCTTTAAGTTATTAGGACCTAAAGATTTGTGTTAATTAATGGTAGAATTGTATCGTAGCTGTCAGAGTCAGCATCTAACTACCTCGAGTGTGTTGGCTTAAAGGTCCTTACTCCTCAGACTTGCAATACTTTTGTAGGACTGAATTATTGTTAATTAGCTCTGAAAATGTTTTCCCTTGCCATTTATTTTTAGACAGTAGAATATTATTTTAGACATTAATGGATGTTCTTCATGCAATGCATTATCATTGCCATTCATCACCAATATTAGTTATACAAAACTAACCTTCCATTCCGAATACTCTTGAAATTATAATAAAGATAAATGAGCAAAATTACTGACAAAGTCACAAGTTGCAGTGTTTTGATTAAGAAGCCTTAGAGGAGGGTCAGGATAATAGCTCAGGGCTGGACTGCTTCTAAATCAAGGTCCTGTCGTATTACGCAATAACGCAAGCTGTAGTTGGTTATTTTGGGGGAGGGAAAAAAAAAAGAAAAAAAGCTTTTGATTGAGAATATATTTCTTATTATGAAGCATGAAAATGACAAAACAATAGCTATGATCATAACTGTTGCAAAGACAAATATGTGTGAAGTGAGCATTTCTGCACAGTGTGTTTGGGTAAGATCTGAGAGAATTTTCTAGAGCGTGCAGAAATTATGTTTGGATATTTCTCATATTAAGGTTGCCTGCACTTACTTTACTATAAGTGGAACTTTAGTATTCCTACTCATCTTCATGAAAATTCATGGGTTTTGTAGTGTGGACATGCAAACAAATTGAGACCATGTTGAAAACGTTACATTGCTGCATGGCTTTAATTAGAACTGCTTGAGAATTCAGTTGTACGCTGTGCGTGCATGTATGTGTGTTTGGAAAATATGTCCATGAGCGTTTGTCTGTAGTAACGTTCCAGCTTATCTGGAAATGTTTGCAATCCCTGATGGGGCATCACATACCATTACTTTGGTGTATAATTTGCGGTTTTTAGTGAAATGCATTTGTTGATTTAAACAAGGACTCCTTTAGCCCAATTGGTTTTGCCACTGGCCTGATAAGAAAGAGTTCACAGTGAAAAAAATAAATCTACCATACAGTTTCAGCAGGGTTTTCAGGTTCGACAAAATAATTTGCTTGTTCACAAAACTGTGAAATCTGAATGTAGTGCTTGAATTTTAACTTTCTCTAACTGATGAAATTTTGGAGAAGGGAAAATGCAATAGGAAGTGTGACTAGTGGCTGTAAAAAATGACATGATAGATGCCAGTCTGAGATCACTTCAGTCATACATCCATTCCGTAGTGGTAAAATATGTAGTTGCTGATTGTAAAAAGGAGATAACAGCTTTGCACAGTGTTTTGGCCCAAGACACCGATGTCTGAGGCAGGAGGATATTGGACCTCCCTTACTTCTGCAATAGGACCACCTGTCCCAGACTGATGAGATGCTCCACTGAAAGCATGCAATTGCTTTACCCATCCCACAGAGGAAACTCGTTTTAAGGAACTCCCTAGAAAAGTCTATTATAGCCATGCTTTTGGGAAGGATGTGGAGGTCATTCAGAAGGTAAGATAGATAGGTAGGGCAGGCTGGCAGGCAATAGACCATTTTCAGATGCATTGCAGTAGGCTGTATTAATCTGAGGAAATCTAGGATTTTTCACATACAGTCTTGTTCACCATCTACTATGAGCATTTCTTTATTAACTAAATCTACAGAGAACACCCCTCTAGATGGGGAAGATCAATGTCCAGAGTTATAGAGCTTATACAGAAGTAATGAGCTTCTTGATTCTCTTGACATTTAGAACAAGTTGTGGTTCAGTGGAAGCTTGGGACAAAAAACACATTAAAATGTGTCAGACATTTAAAAAAAAAAAAAAAAAGACAAGTTTGTATTGTCATCATTTTGTGTTGTATTTTCCTCTCTCTTCTTTTGTGGTTTTACTTGTAGTGGGCCTAAGGGAGAGAGGAAACTTCCGTATCCCAGTGATTCACGTAACTGAAGCACTGCTTGACCTATCAGATATTTATCATCTCAGCCATTCTATGCTGGGTCTCAGTCCTGCAGCTCTAATTGGCATGGGTAGTCGCATTAAAACAATCAGAAGTTATTTGGCAGCTTGCATCGGTAACAGCTAAGGAATCATGCCATATTTTTGAGAACTCATAATTTTCAGACCAATCAGTTAATAATAACTGATTTGATTGTATTCAAAAGCCTGCAGTGGAAACGAATGTTAATGACACAGCTTATTCCAGAGGTTTACTTAGACATGTTGACAAATAACAACAGTATTTTTTTTGTTCACAATTCTTACGAGTCTCAGATATGCCTCAACCTGTTCATTAATAGATGGCAGCTGTTCCTTTAGAATGCTTCTGGTTGCCAGTGAACTATTTCTACTTGTGAGTCAGTCCTCAAAAACCAACCAAAACCAAAAAAATACCACCCAGGATGCAGTTAGTATTTGCACTTTTGTGTTGTTTGGTTTCATGGCTGATGGGCAGTACTCTTCTTAACTAGCTTTTTAAAAAAAATATGACAAGCCTTTGTATTTCTGTCCTTGTGGGCATGGTGGTTGGTATTTTTCTAAACTAGGAGCAGGAGGGAAACTGTCTTGGCAAAAAAAAAAAAAATTTTGCCCTTTTCTGAAGACTGCTGTGAAGCTAACCAAAACTTAGATTCTGCCTGCCTCGCAAGAGTGATTAACTACTAAGATTATTTTCACATAATGTTAAATAAACACAGATCTCTGCTGAGCAGAGAACACTCAAAATCCATTTAAGACCTTGCCCTGTGCTGTTGAGAGTAACATTTAATGTGTAACAGCTGGATGTCATTTGAGATGAACATTTCAGAAGTAGCAGGCCTCAATTCTGTCCTTCCTTTGTCTCTTCACCTTCCCTTCCTATGGCAGCAAGATTTTTGAGATTATGCTGTGTGTCCCATTCCTTTGCTTCTAAAGTATCTTTGGAACTTGCTAGCTGATTTTAAACAAATTTGACAGGTCAAACTAAAAAATAATTAAGTTCCCAAGGAGTTCCTTGAAAATAAGGTGCTGGGTGGAGGAGAGGCAGGGTAGTCTGCAGAAGGGAAGTCTCCAACATTAGTTCCTACAGTATTAGACAGCGATGACTACAGAGAGAGACTGAAAAATGCTTCAGCTAGTCACTCCAGATGGAGCTTGCATCTTGGATATCAAATTTAATTCACTGCAAGACCCAAATCCATAGGAAATTGGATTTCATTATTGTCAAGGTTCATGGAATTGTTAGTTTGTCCAAAAGATCCCTGTGTCTCCAGCAGTGCACATTCAGTGTTTATTATCCTCTGTCATGCATGGAGCCCCAGGCTTTATTTGCCCTTTATTTATCTTGTACTGACCACAGAATATTAATTTCTTTGTGAGGTTTTTCATAATGCTGTATTTTAGATCTCTTTTAGATTTTTATCTTCATAACCTTCTTAGTAACATTAGGTAGTGTATTCAGCGTTGCGCACGTGGGAACCAAGGTACAGAGATTAAAGCAAAGAGGATAAATGGTACAAACTCACTTAGTGCTGGTGCAATGTAGGCCATAATTTTACTACACTATCTTGTTTAATTAAAAAAAAAAAAGTCTGTTCTGGTCATTGAATGAGCCAGATATTCTTCTGGAAACAGTAGCGTACAATTAGGTCGTGTAAATCAAAACTAAGTCACAACATTTGAGTATAGCGGATGAGATTCATCTTAGCGTGCAGCCTTAGCCAGCTAAAATGTACATGACTGGTCTGGTGTGGTTGTTTGGAATCATCTCTATTCAATGGAAAGAGACGCATCTTTTTAGGATAAAACTGTGTTCTGGAGGTGCCTTTCTCTCTCCATTGATTATAAAGGACTCCATATCTCAGCCTATATGGTTTCATATGATTAAACTTAAATAAATTAAACTCCAGGAGACCAAAGGAATCTTACCCACTTGACTTACTTCTGGCATTTGCTGCTTCTGCAAGATCTTGACTTTGACGCTGGATTGCTCTCTTCAATAGGGTTTTTGAGGTGCAACTATATTAATCCTTACATAGGTAATCTGTAGGGTTGAGGAACCTTAGAGTAACAGCACAGCTGTCTTCTCAAGTTTGTGAAATAACTAATTACAGTACAACAGCGTTACAGTCTATGTGGTATTAACAGAAGAGGGAGATAGAGACCCACACTTTGCCAGTGGGTTAGATGTTTTAGACACTGTGGAATGGGAGGCTTTGGGAGAAAGGACTTCATCCCCATTTCTTGAGGAAGGTGTTGTTAGATCTGCTGTGCCTCACCCCATATCCTCTCCTGCTCCTCTTCCTGGTCCCCCAGTGATCGTTTTCCCTGCTAGTATGTCCTAGCTCTTGCTTGATACTGCTTCTGCCCTGTCCTGCCCATTCCTGTTGCGAGAGGCCTGTCTTGCATTTTGAACAAGTAATTTGAATTACAGAATACAAGGAAAACAGATGTCAAGAAGATGGCAGGACTGATCTTAGTAACAGCTCTGCGTACTGGCAATTCAGGCACAGAAGTCACATGAATTTGGTTGCACAAAGTTCTCTGCCGTGCTTTGCCAGTCTTTGTCAACTCTCTCTGTTAAATATAAACAAACGATTGGAGTGATTAAGTATGATCATTGTTTCATTAGAGAAAAGAAAAATCCATGGAATTTGAAGAAGTTATAAATAATAGTAACTTCAGTTGCAGTCTCTTCTGCTTGTTTCTCTAAAGCTGTTTGCTTTCCAGCAAGCGTGCCAGGTCTGACTTTGACTGGGGACATTGAAATGGATAGAGTAAAATCCTGTCATTCTTCCAAACCCGTAGTGAACCCCAGATCCATAATAACTGAAACAGGATCAAAATACCAAGGACTGGTGCTAGAGTAGGTGAATCCAACTTCGTATGGCACTGCTAATCTGAGCATTTTTTCAGCAAGGGATGGGCAGCTGTCGTAATGAAGATTTATAAATGTACTCCATTAGAAGCCTTTCAAAGAGTTTCTCTTATTTTTTCATTATATTTCCCTTTGTATACCAGCTTAGCTTTCTTTCCTTGATTTAAAAGACAAAAAAAGCCAAAAACGTTTGGGATCTCAGCCATCTCATCACAATTCCTTTGTCTAGAAGTTAGGTATCTATTGCGTGCTGGTGATAAAAACTCTGCTTAGAACTGGGAAGGAGAGACAGCCGGGGAGCAGAGACAGCAAGAAGCTTAAAACTGGCTTGAACTGATGCCTGCCTGTTAGGTGAGACAGGTCTGCTGTGGTATTTAACAGGAAAAACTAGTATTTGATAACAGGAAGTTTCAACATCTCACTAAAATCACTGCAGGGTAGAGTGGCATCTGTGTCTGTGGCGGTATTTTCAAAACCCCTTTTTGCCCAAGATGCTGAAGTGGAAACTCAAGTTTCTTGGTACCATTTTGGTGGTTCTCCCCTTTTTACGCTTTTTTGCTGTTTGTTGGCTGGCTTGTCGGGGAGTGAGCTACAACAGGTTGAGCTGAAATGTGAGCTGGAAGTGTTAGTGTTCGTGGAGCCCTGAAGAAGGAATGCTGCCCGCCTTGTTCTCACGGGTGGGAGAGATTTACATACCTCCCTGCTGTAATTTTGGGAGAGGAGGGTGCTCCACCTCTTCCAAGGCTCAGCTGAAGTTCAGCACTATCTGGGATTGCCCGATCCTTGCTTCAGCGCTTTAGGCGGGACTCGTAGTACCTCTTCAGGTTATGAATGTGCACTTTTAAAATGTGTGTATAGCCCGTTTGCTTGAATGAATCCCAAGCCCTTATTTGCTTGATGAAGATCCTGTATGGAATAGTCTTATCAAACTGAAGTGATTCTTAAAGTCCTCAACTTTTAAATGGCTTTTGAAACAAACTATTACCGCTTCTTTATTTGTAGAGGCGATTCTTGTCTTTCTGTCCTGGGTAATCTGTTGATGAACTACTATCAGATAATGATTTTAGAGATTATATGAACCATTTAATTGTCAAATATGTTTCACCATTCTTAATCACTTATAGTACTGAGGATCCTTACTAAGGATACGTGAACAGCTTACTCGCCACCCAGAAGTACTATTAAGTAGTAAAATATTTGTGAATAAGCATCTTCGGTGTTTAAGGAACATGCAGGTTTCTCCCTTTTAACTGAAAGTGTGAAGTTAGATATAACCCGCAACGCTTTCAGATTACCTGTTTCCTCTAAAGCTAAGTAAGTGAAACCTGAATTCTGAAATTGTTCAAACAGGAATTTTTCTAGAACTCTTTTACTACTTAAACTGAATTTTTTTCTTCTAAAGAAAAAGCATGGGTGAAACAAAACCTACTTAATGTCCATAATCATCAATGCTCAGTGCTATTTCTTGTCTCAGTAGAGTGAATTTAAATTTCTTACTGTACCATTATCTTCCAAAGCTTCCCCCCTACCCAAATCTTACCTCTAAACCAGAGTGATGTCTTGTTCCTTCAGAAGACAAGGTTATGGTTGTGTACTTTTGATTCTGCCTTGCTCTCTCTTTTAAAAAGCTCTTCATACGTTACATTTACTGTCTATGCTTGAAGACTATCCAGTACGGTCTCCACCTAGCACAAATCATAATGGCTAATGCCTGCACTCAAGCACCTTGTACAACTGTGTAAAGAATTAAAACAAAAGTTATGAAGCTACATGTTGGAATCTGTGCGAATTCTCAAGGGTAATAAAAAGGTTATGACTGTTGGTACTTGTCGCTCCAACAAAAAAACAAGTGCACATGCTGTATTTCTTCGTATGTGATTTATATGTGACTAATGACAAATAACTCCTAAAATCAGTAAGTACAGTATTCCAGTGCCCTAGAGTCAGAACAGTAAGTGTTAATAATTTTATTGATGACAGCTTTGGCATCTGTCCCGAGGTTTAAGACACTGCGATACCTTTCCTGCCCTCCTCTGTCCCTCACTCCCCATCCCTCCCAGGGTTTGCTTGTCGCCCCCAGCAGCCCCCACTGCAGAGGCTGCCCTGGGTCCCAGCCCCTCTCTTTGTGGGGATGGCCCTGGAACAGGGCAGCCAGCACACTGGAAGAGTTAAAACTATGGCTACAGAAGGGAACAAGGAAACAAATTCCATGCGTCTTCTCCAGAATTTTAGGTAGTGTAAATTTTCTCAGCCAAAGAGGCATAGATCTTATTGTAACCTGGGGAAATGTTTTATTTTCTACTCATTTTGATTCAGCTGAGTAAATTTAGGTGAACCTTTCTGGATGTAGTCAATGTTCAACTACCCTGTGACATTGTACATGTAAGTTCTCAATTCTGAATCACGATTAGCATTGTACTACGTGATGCCTTTTTCCCCCTCTTCTTTTTTTTTCCTGTGCTTCAAATTTCATAAATTCCAGCTTAGATAGCTGTCCTTTCTGGAAGCTTCTCATTATTGTCAGAAATGGTTGTTTATGGCTGTTAGGTTTGGGTTGAGAGAGGAATGTGGTGAATCCAGTGGTTGCACTTTCTTCTCTGTGTATCATTACACACTTGGTAAACCTGCCAAGAAGCAGGCAGGAGAATGGCAAGTAGGAAAGTTAGGACTGTTTTTTTTTTTCCTAGGCGTGTGATAATATTCTCTACGTCTGTGTGCCTGAGTTTAGGGTTCAGTGTTCATAGTTTTAGAGTACAAGATTGCAACATGTGCTCGTACTGTATTGCACAACTGGGTTTGATTGTTTCTCTGGTCAGCACTAATTATCTAGTTGAGTTCATTGCTGAAAGGAAGAGTCCTGGTTTTGCTGATTTTTTGTTTGTTTTTTTTAATCTGCTTTTGCAATCAGTACATAAATGTTCTACAAGGGTGGAGTGCTATTTTGATACTTCATCTTGATAAAGACTGAGTTGTTTCCATTCGGGGGTATTCCTGGTTATTAAATAGAGGCAAGAAAACAGAGAATTTTAGTGAATTTCACAAAACAAGTTAACATCCTTTATAATAATTAATAGCCTGTGCCTTTTTCTAATGGCTACTGATGTTCTGTATTTCCCTGTTCCTTTCAACTGGATTTTTGCACCCTATGCTCAATACTTAAAAGATTAGTGTACTTAACTGCAAATTAGTGAAACAGTCAATTAGAAATTAGTCAACAGAAGAACCTGTACATATAGAACAATTCATGTGAGTAAAAATTGACAGTATCAGTTCATACGGTTTGCAGTGTCTCCTCAAAAGACACTTTCTGTCATCTGTCACCTTCAGAGTTAGAGATGTTTGAAATAGCTAAAGAATGTAAATATACCAAGCTGGGACTTGCATGGGCATCAGTCTCAGTCTAATTTATTAGAAAACTGCAATCTTTTAATTAAATATTCAAAGGCAAAATGTATCTAGTGATCCCACCACATCTTTTACGTATTGAAATATGTGAAAATTCAAGCTTTTCAACTGTTGTGTTCCAGTTATCTTAATTAAGTGTTTGCTTTTGTTTGTTTTACAGAAATCCTGTGTATTATATGACTTTGATGTTGTGGCTCTAAATGAAAGTAAGAAGAGAACCTGCTGTGCATTCTGAATATTGTTTCTTATTCCATTTTCTCTTCAGAAAGGATTAACTATTGCAAAGGAACATACAGGATTTTAAAAGTGAGCCTGTAATCCCAAAACACAGTATTTAGGCATCCTTTGTATTACACAGACTTTGTTGCCAAATGTTTTGATATGTTTATATTATATTTTCATATTTTTAATGTGAAGTTAAAACAATTATCTGACTTTGGAATTATTAGATGCATCACAGGATTACTGCATTTGCATACAAGTGTTTGCAGAAATGAAATCTAAGTGTACTAATTTTCTCTCATTAAAAAAAAAAAAAATTACCTTGACTTCTATGTGTTATTTATACCAGATGTCAATGTTCATTACATTAGAAATCATCACACAGTCAACCTTCTGATACATGAAATCACTTATGCTGTCCCCCAGACAAGATCTCTTTAAGTAGCTGATATTTACTGCAGTCCCCTAAGATAATTTTCTGGGAATTTTTGGCTTTGTTTCTTTTATATCCATTTCAGACACATATGTGTTACTTGAATACCCTTGAATAGGAAGGCTGCAAAGGTGAGGGCTGAGAGAAAAGAATAAGCTGTATACAAGATCAGTGTGTTGCTGAACCTTCCTCAGAAGGCAGAAAACATGGAACAACAGAATGCATCCAGTAATAATTATCTTGCTAATATAAACTTTTGTTGTTCTATAAAATAATCCGCGCAGGTGTTAACAGCATACCTGCATTTTCAAATGTTCCTTTTGTCCTAAATGATCACAATATTAAAAGGGTATGCAGGGCTTGTTTGATATCATCAGATATATATGCTGTTTTCTTAAAGTACAAATACATCAGGTATCTGATTCTGCTCATTTAGATCTGTTTTATACTGGTATGTAATATCTTTAATTTCAGCAGAGGATATCAGATTTTATTTAAATTTAAATGAGGGCAGAATCAGGATGCCAGTTTCTTTTTCTTTAATCAAAAGCAAAGAGAACACAAATCAAACCTGCAAGACATGCACAAAGCAAACACAAGTTGGGAAATCTGAAGAATTGTGGTGATTATATTGTCTTAATTTTTTTTTGGCCTGGGAAATGTGGTTCTTGATTATTAAATTTAATTGTTTTATCACCATTTGTGCATGAATAATAGTACTGTGCCAAATTGTGTTGTAAGCTAGCCCATCACATCCAGAATAACTCCACTGGCTTATTGTTCTGGAATACGCCTGCTTCTTTTTTGAGGGCTGTTTGCAGATTGTTATAATATCAAATTATTATTAAATTTGGTATTGAGACAGTGAGCTCAACTGGCAAATGCTTTCTGAAGCACATGGGACCTAATGTGCCTGAGCACACTGCCAGGTTACTGTGCCACTGGGCCATTTTGTCTGCTTGTGGAAGGGGTGCGAAAGGATGGGGAGGGCTACGTATTCACAGTTGCTCCCAACTACTCCTCCTGGCCAGTCACTTAAGGTAGCGTTTAGAGCAAAATCCAAAAACAAGGAACAAAGGATAATCCCTGCCTTAGTTACAACCATAGCAGAGGAAGAAAATAGTGCTGGAAGGGATTTTGAGAGGCTCTCCAAATCCTCATCTCAGCCTCAGATCAGCTGTCCCTGCTGTACTGCAGGAAGATGTTGGGAGACCTGCCGTGATGGAGCTCCCACGCTCTGCGAGCGGTGCGCAGTCCCTACTTAACTGGCTTGGCAAGTGGGAAGGTTCCTAATACCGCACCTAACTGGTACACATGGAAAGCAGACTCTGCCTTTCCTCTTGAGGTAGGTGAACACCTCTGCCTGCTCTCTCTCTTCTTTTTAGGCCAGAGAACTCCCGTCCCTTCTACCTTCCCTTGTAGTTTGGGTCTTCGGAATCCTTTGCCATTTTTGTTTCTCTCCTCTCGATAATTTTGAGTTGGTTCTCAGCTATCCTGAAGTGTAGACCTGAAAACTGAGCAGACTCTTCCAGTTTAAATAGTAACGGCTGTTCTCTCTCTTATTTACGATACTCCTATTTATGCATTCCAGCATCAGCATAATGCAAGATAGCCTAGCACCGCTCGTGATCTGTAATCTCTTTGCCGAAGAACTGCTTTTTGATCCTGGTACGTACTTGTGCAGTTGATCATTCCTTTGTATGTGTAGAACCTTCTGTTTCTCCTTACTCGGTGGCATTTCAGTTTCTCCAGTCTGCCAGGATCCTCCTGAGTCGTGATGCTGTGCTCCAGCGTAGTTGGGAGCCTTTTCCTGTAGATATGGTCTCCAGACGTGAGTAAGTGGATTCTGTTCAGTCATCAAAGATGTTGATGGAGATGCAAATATTTAGGTTCCCAGGCAATGTTTGCAGGGTGCCTCACCCCTGCGAGCTGATGCAGTGTGCTTCACCTAACACTCCAGGTAGCGTGAGTGCTCTCCTCTTCGTATCTTTTGCTCTCCTGTAGCAAAACTACTGCCTTTTTCTAAGCATATACATCGTGGACTACGTTCACAGGAGCGTGCCACTGGGGAAAAACCACCACTCCCACTAGAAAGGGCCAAAAAACCCTCCCACCAAACTGGAACACTCTGTGTTTGGAGGCATTTGCTCAACTAGAAAATAGGATGTAAGTTGAGAGCATGATCTTCATTTAGTTCTCTCCAAAGCTGGCTGGATGATAGTCTTGCACAAATTCCCACAGATGGAATTTTTAGAATAAATAACGGTTAAATAAGGGATTTGACTGGAAAAAGGAAGACAACTCTTACAGTGAAACAGAAGATAAAAGGTGTATATTCACACCAGACCCTCAGACCTGTTTAGAATACCTTGCATGAGCAAAGATTGCTTGGATTTTGCAAGTAAGACAGGAATAGCGTTCTCTTTCAAAACATGAGATGCACAGACATCAGCTATGTAAAGCCCATTGTCCTTTTTCCCCCTTGTCTCAGGGAGAGGGGTAGGTACTTGGGATCTGATTACAAAAAGATCGCTGCATCTCCTGTTGTTTCCCATTGGACTTGTAATTATTTATTATGAAAATCAGGCCTTTGATATAAAGGGAAATCACATGTAGGAAGAAGGAATGCAAATTCATGGGGGTTTTAAAGAAATACTGACTATGATGGCTTCATGTGAAACTTTACTGTGTAAGGCTTAGAGGTTTTTTTGGTGTATGCATATTACAGCGTAAAGCATGTTACTAGATTTATACTAAAATCAGTTTGTTGCGAACAGCTCCATTTCAAATGTTAGCATAGCTATGAACTGATGATGGTCTGAAATGCTTTAAAAATAATTTTATTGGCAATGAAATAAATACATACTGGTGATTTTACAGCCTGCTGCATAAATGTGTTGTGAAATCAACATGAACGTCAATTTAAAATGCATTTAAGAATAATTTCAGGAGTTATTCTGTGTCTCCCTGCCACTGAGTAGGGTTTTATGGTGACAATTTGCTGCTGAAAGGTAAAGACTGTCTCTGAACGCCGCCTGCAAGGCACACACACCAAAACGAAGACGTTGTGTAAGTGAGGCCGGGTCCTGAGGTGGATCGGCTCACAGGGATTCTTCTGCAGGTCTGATGGCTGCCTTAGCATTTGGTACCCGTAGGAGACTCTGCAAGAGATCGCACTAAGGGACTAAGGCATTGCTAGACATCAGAGAAATTGTATCTCAAGTGTTAATTATACCTAAGGTGCAGTTAGAACAAGAAATGGTCTGGCATTTGTATGTGCTGGTGATTTGAATACTGTAATATACTGAATAATATGTAGTATTAGAATGCCTTTCAAGGAGGTTGAGCTATAGTACAGTTAGGACACCTAACAAAGTCAGTCTAAGAGCTCCAGCAAGACATTTAAATACTAGTAAGCTTTATGATGTCTCTTTGTCTGGAGAGAACTGAATGGAACTGAGACAGTATCTAGAAGTTGCATTTTTAAAAAAATGCAGGTTGAGCTATAGTACAGTTAGGACACCTAACAAAGTCAGTCTAAGAGCTCCAGCAAGACATTTAAATACTAGTAAGCTTTATGATGTCTCTTTGGAGAGAACTGAATGGAACTGAGATAGTATCTAGAAGTTGCATTTTTTAAAAAATGCATCCTGTTCCAGTAGGATGGGTAGGAAGTGGGTTGGGTTTCCACTGGCTGGAGAGAACAGAAACATGGTTATATGAAGACAGACTTAAAGGCTGTAGGACATCTAAAACCATCTGAAGAATGAAGCAATCTTCACAGAAAAATGAGCAGTAACCATTTCTGTGTGAACGATGCATTGCTTCCCAGAGAGCAGAAGTGCACGATGTCCGAGAGAAGCATACGCGGCAGGACGGTATCTATCCTGGAATTAATGGTACCCAAGATAATGTTTAAAAACAATTCTTGACAGACTAGTGCTTCAAGTCCCGGTGAATCCCAGCCTGACCTGATCTGCTTTGCCTTACACACTGCACCCAATAACCTCGTCAAACCTGAACAAGTTAAAACCATGCTTTTGCTTTCCGTATTTCAACAATAATGCTCTTAGCTATTATAGTACTTTGCACTTCAGTAGCTTAATTCACTTAAGTTGTTCAAAGCATTTGGTGAACTTTGTAAAAGGGAAGCTACTTTGAAAAAAAAAATCCACTATTATATTTTTAAAGCTAACTATTCCTGTAGGTGGGATCTAACAGCAGCATGACTGAGCGTAGAGAACGAAGGTTTTTCATAGTGCTGGGAAATCCCAGCGCCAAAGTGCGTAGCCAAAGCCTGGACCCACATCAGGATGAGATTCAAACCAACCCAGATCCATTTAAAGCAAGATAACTTGGGTTTTCTGTAATCCTCTGTGCCGACTGGCTTCCACCATCTTTGTTTCATCTTGGAAAGTGTGGATGTAAGTCCCAGTCTCTGTTTGCAGCAGAGCAGAACAAGAGCGTGTCTGTCTGGGCCCTCCTCACGCTGGCACCAGCGGTGACAAAGGGACGGAGCGGTGGCTGGCCCTTCGGCAGGCACGTGAGGATGGGCGAGCGGCCGGGGAGCTCTTCCTACCGCAGCTCTTCCCCGAGCTCCGCCGTCCCCAGCAGTCTCAAAGAGCGATACCACGGAAGATGGAGCCTGGAGAGAGATGTTAGCTGTGGGTGTTTTCAGTCCCTTTACAAATCACTGAAAGGCACTTTTATGTTTCTAGTCGACAGTACAGCCTTAAACGTAGCCAAGTTTACTGCAATAAAATAGTTTTGACACACAAGTGAACACCACAAAGTTAAGCACGGTGCAATGCAACCGCCCTGGAGTTAGTTTTTCTGGTTTAATTTCCCAGTTTCTGCAGTCTACCAGTCTGGAGATAAAAATACATAAAAATGTTAACATAAAATACCTTACGAAGATCATATAAGACTTCACCACATAAGCCAGTTTGAAAAAAGAACTAGTAGGTGATTTTAAATTTTCCCGTGGTCTGAAGACCCTCGAATACACAACATATGTAATGCTCCCATGTGCAGTAACGACAGAAGTAAGTCCATGATTTTCCTCTAACTTCTGTGCACTACTATTCATACTTTAAATACCCATCCATGGTTCACAGGTGAAAACTAAAATAACAGATACATAATCAAAGTTGCCATCTCATTGGATTTTTTTTAATGTGGTATGAATTTCACAGGCAAAGTTCCTACGCTAAATTAAACAGTATGAAGAGGCAGTGCAAGCCGCTGGCTCCCAATTGCTCTGATAAGCGAAGTGAGCCATTTTACCTACCAAGGGCGAAGGTAAATCGCGCCTGCAGGCGGATCTCCGTCCCCTTCGCAGGGAAGCGGCACATGGAAACCCACGGCCTCCCTCCCCAACC